CTACTGTTTCCTTGGTGTGGATGTCGAAAATCTTCCATGCGTTGTAGTGTTTTTCGATGCCCAGGTGTAGTCCCCACTGTGCGCGTTGGGAGAATCGACCGGCTCGTGCAGATGGGGGTCCGTACTGTACCATGCAGCCGAAAACTCTCAACATTTTTGTGCTGCCCAGTTTTCCTGTCCACAGCAGATGCGGTGATGCGTTGTTCGGGAGCGATGCTGAGGAGAGCAAGTTGTGCAGCATCACGGCGTGGTCCATTGCTTCGGGCCACTGGTGGTTGGGTAGATGCATGCCACGTAGCAGCTTGCGCATGGTGTTCTGGAGGGTCCTGTTCATCCTTTCTGCTACACCCTGCTGTTGATGGGCGTAGGGAAGAGAGATGAGCCTCTTGATTCCTCTCTCTGCCAGGTGCCGCTTGAACCTCTGTGACGCATATTCTCCTCCTCCGTCTGACTGGAAGCTTTTCAGTTTCACTCCTGATTCCCGTTCTGCTACTGGGAGCCGGCGACGAAAGCTTCGAAGGCCTTGTCGCGGCTTAGAAGGTTCAGGTGCCAGACGTATCGTGTGGCAGCGTTGATGAACGTGATGGTATAGTTGTATGCGTTTTGTCCAGGCTCGCGGTTGTACAGGATGTCGCTGTACACTTTCTCGAGTGGTGCGTAAGCTGGTGCGCTCGGGTTGTGGTGAGAAACGAACGGCTGATGCGGTAAGTCGGCTTCAGGGCAGGTGAAGCATGTTCCTCTGACTCGTTGGAGTTCTCTGCCGTCAGTTAGAAGTAGAGAGTCTTTGTCGAGTACGCCTGCTCTTATCGTGTTGTTTAACACCGTGTTGCTTGGGTGTACCATTCTTGCGTGCCAGGTTCCTTTAGAGGCGCGGTGTCCGGGTGAGCGCCGATACATGTCGGAGTTGGAGTAGAAGCCGGCGGTGAAGTTGGCGCTTCGGTGGACTTCTCGTTGCGTCAGATTTAGCTGCTGCGCGGGTGTCGGTGGCGAATCGTCGATGAAGACCGATGGTGTTGAAGAGCCAGCGATTGGTGTTGATGTTGCTCCTACTGCTGTCGTTGTCTCTGCTGCTGCCGATGTTGTCTCTGTTGCTGCCAATGTTGTCTCTGCTACTGCCGATGTTGTCTTTGCTGCTGCCGATGTTGTCTCTGCTGTTGCCGATGTTGTCTCTGCTGCTGCCGATTGTTGAATCGTTGCTAATGCCTCAGGTATCGTGTTGGAATGCCAGAAGCCGCCGGGGCTGAAGTCTGGGTCAAGATCTGGAGGGTGGGTCCAGGAAGTGAAGGTCACAATTCCGTCGCTGTCGGCGGTGCCGAGATCTGGAACGAAGTCGAGAACGAAGACGTTGTTCTTGAGGACCGCCTTCCCGATGTAGAGGCCTCCTCTCCCGTGGTACAGCTTGAATTCCTGGGTTGTGCTGTCTGCTTCGAGGTAGACGCCCTTCGCCATCAATTGACTAACGCTGAGTAAGTTGTAGCCGAGTCCTTCTGCTATTAAAACCTTCGACATCTGCAGTATGACATTTGTCTCTCGTGACTGAAGTTGAACCACGCCTTGTCGTCGTGTGCGCAGGTTCTGGTTGTTGGCGACGGTGATGACGACTTCGCGTTGAAGTTGGTATTCCCGTTGAACGAAGCGACTTGAGGAGCACATGTGATGTCCGCAGCAACTATCCAAGAACCAAGTGTCCTTCCCGGATGGTTCGCTCTGGGCGATGGCTGCGTACGTCGGGTTCGGCTCCAGTGTCTCACGGCGATGGGTGCTTTCGTCGAGTAGTTCTTCTGGTGAGTAGTGTGGCGGTGACTCGGTGATGCAGGAATTGGTTATCATTGCCATGCAACTAACAATGTTTCTTGTTCCTTTCGCAGATTGTGTTATTGATGTCGTTGAGGGCTGCGGCTGACTCGTGGGATGCGCCTCTGTGGATGTCACTTGGCTGCTTGAAGGACGAAGTTATCATTGCGACAGAGTTGACTGCTGTCGGTTCGGGCAGTGCGTGCGCGGATGTCCGGATGTCTTGCATATGTGGCAGAACGGAGGTACGGGTTTTGGTTGTTGTCGGTTGTTGTTGTTGTTGTAGCGCCGTTGAGTGTGAAATGCAAACTCGGGTACTGATGTTTTCTTCCTGTGTCGTTCCTCGTGCATGTCCATGTCTTGTTGCTCAGCGTGAATTTTGGCACAGAGTGCGGCTTCAGAATTTTTCCGTGAGCTCGGAGAATAGCTCGAGTGGAGCGCCAGTGAGGGCCAAGACCGGTGATGATGACCGTGACGAAAGCTTCTTCGGCTATCGAACCTCCGCATCGTTGAAGTCTGTCGCGCAATTCGCGACAGCGGCTGACATACGCCATTCCTTTCTCGCCGGGTTTCATCTCCACTGTTGTCAGCTGTGCCATCAATCGACTCTGATTGACACTGTCTGTTGCTTGATACAGGTTCTTCAAGTGGTTGTACGCGAGCTCGGCGGAGTTGCCGTATCCCCGATAAGACCGGATGTTCTGCTGTTGGTTCGGAGTGATGTTCCTCGGCATGATTGTGTATGCCATCATTGACTGATACGTATACTGTTGCTTGTCGTTCTGTGTGCCGTGTGTTGGATATGGCAGGGACCCGTCGAAGAAGCCAAGAATTTGCGCGCCTTCCATCATTAGCTCGAACTCAAACGACCAGGTAAAGAAATCATTTCCGTCGAATGGTCTTGATGTCTGCAGTTTTAAGACGTGCGCGAATTGCGCCTGAACTTGAAGTGCATTCAGTGTCTTCTCTTGTCCAGGTGCAGGCAGCGGGTGTGGCATGAAGCTGATGGACCCGCGCTGAGGCTCGTACGGAGCAAAGGTAGGCTGCTGCTGTTGATTTCCGCGTGCGTAGGATGAGCCGTCGAGACTCATGGACGTCACGTCGTTGTTGTTGTTGCTGTTGTTTGATTGCGCAGGTGCTGATTGCTAGTGCTGCTCGTACAAGGACATGAAGGAGAAAAACTTCTCCATCATGCTCTGGTCGAAGCCTGCAGGTTGATTCGCTGGAGTCTCGGTGGACCCTGCTGTTGGTCTTGTTGCCGTACCCTCCTCTGTCTGTAGGCCAGAGGCAGGAGGTGGAGTAGGGGTAGTGCCGGGAGAACCGTTAGAGGAACTCCTCTCTTTTTGTATTGCCATGCCTTCTGTTGTTGTTGTTGTATGTGTCTTGATAGTGGAGTTTGTCCTGATAGCTCTCATACCATGTTGGGCTGAGAAAAGCCCTTAGGATCTTTGCAGGACTAAACTCCTGGTAGGAATGATGTAATAGCGGAAGCGTTTAATGAAACTTGTTGAACCACCTTGCGCTAGTATGTGAGGGCAAAGTAGATTGATTAAAGCAAAGAGATACAAGGTTTTATAAGAGTACAAGGAATATGAAAAGATACAGCTAAACAACTGTTTTACTGTTGCTGTTGCAGTTCGATACAGTGACGACTCGGGCAACTGCTCTGTAACGAGTCAGTTGTGTGTCCTTACTGTCGCCCTGTAATTGTCAGGTCAAAGGTCGTTGACCTTTGACTTTCGCGTAACCTCCAGTTGTTGCTTAACCTCAGAAGGTTGACTCGTAGATGCTTCGCTGTGTGTTGCTTCGTTTATGACTTGGTGTTTCGACACGACAGAGGCGCTTAAATCACTTGTTTCCAATAAGACTATCAATATGAACCGTGGAGCCTATGGTAGTGGTGAGAGCTACATACCAAACATTTCTGAAATCTCAGACTAATCAGACCACTGATAAAAACAGCCCTCTGTCTGCTTCATTCGAGCGCAACACACTCGCCTCGGCTAGTAATTCACGATCCAAGCTTAAGAATTAGTCGCTTATACTTGGTCTTTGTGAGGAACTTCTGGAGTTGGGTGACGTTAGTGTCTATGGTAGGAATTAGTCGCTTATACTTGGTCTTTGTGAGGAACTTCTGGAGTTGGGTGACGGGAGGGGTTCTCGTGGTCGCATCTCCCTTCCAAATTTTCGCCCAGTCTGTTCGCGAACCCCACATCGTTTTCGTTGGGGTTGTCTCTGAGGGAGGGTACTGTTCCAAAGCAACAGTACTTTCAAATGTATACTCTTGCTTTAAGTCTAACCTCACCGCAAAAACATCAGAGCCTAGCACTCTATCGTTACCGTAATTTCACTTGCTATCCTTTGCATCCAGATCAAAATCCTCACCTCGATTGCCCACTAATGCACCTGAAGTACATATGGCGAGCGCGTGTAATGTTGAGCATTCCTGTGTTGCAAAGGAGCTTCCAAAGGAGCTTCCCAGTTCAAGTCGGGAACATTTCCCCCAAACTTAGTCAGGACGAGAACACGCCTTACCCGCAAGCAACTGATTTCCCTTCCCGTTCGCCCTGCGTTCCATTTTCGTGTCGTAGATTATGGACGTGAACTACTATGCCTTCCTGCAGCTGATATTTTTTCTCACCCAAAATGTTTCAGTCATCTCCATGCAGCCAGCATCGCTAGAAAATCGGCCGTTTTTCTCTTGACTTCCGTCCACATTGACTCCGCCACGCCGTGCTGTCGTGATGATATCGCGACTCGCTGGTCACCGCCCGGTGATGGGCCAACGCAGGTCGACGGCTCCAGTGAATGGAATAAATGCGGCGAATGCGACCCGGAATGCGAGAGTCGCGATGGGCGAGATAAATGCGACGATAAATGCGACGATAAGTGCGAGAAATGCAACGGATGTCATCCACAGGCGGAACGCGCAGGACGAATACATGGATGAGGGTGACGAAACGAAATTACGGGAGAACGTGAAGGTGACGACTGTGATAGTAACGGAGGTGATTAGCCGCGATGATGAAACTAGAGCAGTAGGGAAAGTGATGGCGGAATTGGAGGATTGGATTGAAAAGAATGTGGAGGCGATTTTCGCCCTGGCGGACGCGATTCGGACTGAATGGGAGAGCGGAGAGGCGGGTTACCAGGCCGGGCGCAAGCGAGCTCGCAAGACAGATGGCTCTTCCTTAGAACTGCCGGCGATGATGACGGTGAGTGCGAGTCGCACATGTCTCGCTTCTGTCGCACGTGTCGCATGATGCATCGCACATGTCTCCCGTCTGTCTCACGTGTCGCTTGATGTGTTGCACGTGTCGGGATACGCAAATGAAACGCCATCTGGGAATAAGCGCGACGAGAGTGGAGATGGATGTGGAGAAACCATCCCCCTTGATCCCCGTTTTCCTCCCTGCATGGAACCCATCCCCGCCTCTCGTCCCCCTTGTCCCACGGTTTCCGCCGCCTTGCGTGAAACCCACCCCAACCTCCCTTCCTCCTTGTCCCCTGATTTCCGTCCAGTGAATGCCATGAGAGAGAAGATATCAAAGGGGGCTATGGATGCGACTTTTGAGTCGACTCAAAAGTCACCTCCTTCCAGCGAATGCCATGCGAGAGAAGATATCAAAGGGGGCTATGGATGCGTGGAACCCGATGTGACTTTTGAGTCGACTCAAAAGTCACCATGCGAGAGAAGATATCAAAGGGGGCTATGGATGCGTGGAACCCGATGTGACTTTTGAGTCGACTCAAAAGTCACCATGCGAGAGAAGATATCAAAGGGGGCTATGGATGCGTGGAACCCGGTTCACCCTTCCTTCCCCCTTGTTTCCCTTGCTTTCCCGTCCGGCAGAATCTGACCTCGCTGTCAGCCCATGAGGACACCATACGAGAGAAGGTCTCGAAAGGGTGAAAGGACGCGTCAAAACCAAACTCCCCTTTCCCCCCACTCCCCTCCCTCCCCTTTTCCCCCCTTGTCCCCTGCTCTCCCCTCCGAGCAGCAGCATCTGGCGGCGCTGTCAGCCCATGCGGAGGCCATTCGAGAGAAGGTGCGCGGAGTGGGGAGGTCTCTGCGCGGAATTGGGGGGGAGCAGGCGCAGGGAGGAAGAATGGAGGGCGGGGGTGAGCGGGGAGGGAACAACGAGGAGCAAAGTGGGGAGGAGGAGAAGGATGATCAGAACGAGAAGGAAGCAGAGGAGGAAGCGAGGGATGGGGAGAAAGAGGCGGAAGAGGAGGAGGAAGGGGAGGAGGAGGGGGGAATGAGGGACGAGGAGGAGGAGAAGACGATTGATCTGGTTGACGAGACGACGGAGGAAGGGGATGAAGAAGATTCGAAGCGCGAATCTGCTGGAGAAGCATGGGAGAAGCTGGAGGAAAGAGTGCTAGGAGAAGGGCGAGGGGAGGAGGGAAGAGAAGGGCACGTGGCAGAGAGGGAGGGAGCAGCAAATAGAGAGGGAGCAGCAGAGAGGGAAGGATCAGCAGAGAATTGTGCAAATGAGGAGGGACACGCAGAGGAGGACGCAATGGAGGAGGGAGTGGGAGATAACTATGACCTGGTTGAAGTGAGAGGTGGCTATGAGATGAGAGGTGGCAATGACTTTACCTCTCGCGCTTGTTCTCACCCCTTGTTCTTCTCATTCCTTGTTACTCTTTCCTGTTTTTCTCCAATCTATGCTGCAAATTTACCTAAATACAAAATATTTGCATTAACACTGGTATCTCTATGTTAGCACATAAGTATTTGTACGTGTCTTGCTACCTTCGCCTTGTTGCTCCTCTCAATTCCAACTCAGCACCACCCTTCTGCTTCTCCCTTCACTACCCTGCACCATCCCTCTGCTCCCCCACCCTTCCCAAGAAGCCCCTCGTTGCTCAAAACGGATTGGGACAGGACAAAGGGGCAGGGTTGGGGGACGAAGCCAGGGATACCATGCGGGGGGGAGGGGAAGGCGTGGTGGGGAGGGCAGGCGGGAAGCATAGTGCAGTGGGGAAGGTAGATGGGCCGTTGGGGAACGACCTGGTACTGTCTGTGAAGCGATGGGCGCAAGGGGCGGGGCTGTGCGGAGCAGCAGACGCAGCAGCAGAAGCAGCAGCAGGGCAGCCAACATGGAGCAAGGGAGTTGCATGTGGGGAGGTGCAGAGCGCATTAGTGGGAGGGAAACTCAGTGACGAGGCACTCAAGGCATGCCTGCAGGAAGAAGTCAACGCCTTGCTGCTACTCATCCCGGCTGACAAGCAGCTAATTCAGACACGCATGATCAACGGAATGATCTGCTTTCTCTCTTCTCTGTCCCCCAAGACACAGCAGAGCACCCCTGCAGTGCAACGGATTGTTCCTGAAACGCGGCAACTCAATGGCAACCCAGCAGCACCGCACATCACCTCTGAATTACAGGAGATCACCCTCTCCCACAGCAACCTCCACTACTTTCTCTCACTTGCTCCCGCCTGCCGTCCTACCCTCCTCCCCTCCCTCTCCTCCCTCACACTTGACCAATGCTCCTCGGTCTCTCCCCGCGACATGCTCTCCCTCTGCCACCTCCCCTCCCTCACCTCCCTCTCCTTCCTCCAAACCCCCTTCACTCCTTCCGCCCTCTCCCTCATCCAGCCCTTCTCCCGCCTCCACCAACTCGTCCTCGACTGCCCCGGCCCCTCAACCCTGGCCTTCAAAAACGGGCCCTGGCCATTAAAACGACTGAAAGTGCTGCATATAAGCTGGGTGACTAACGCAGTTCTGGAGCACGTGGGCATGCTGAGGAGCCTGGAAATCCTTTTTTGCACGTGCTGTGAGGGGGTGGGTTTCATGGGATGGCTTTGCCTCGTCGGTTTGAAACGGCTGAGGCAGCTCCGAGTGGCTCCAGCAGACCTGGAGGGTCATGGGCTGAGGATGGACTATCCCAAGGGAAGATTTCCGGTGGTCTCACGGGTGTATGCAAGGCCACAGAAGGAGCAGGGGGGCGTACTCTGGGAGAAAGTTGGAGGGGGTGTTCAAGGGGGTGTTCATGAGAATGCACACTTGAATCACTTGGAGGGATTGCCAGGCCAAGATGACGATAGTGAGGTGTGGCATTTGCTGAGCTCGCTGCCTCTTCTGGAGCATCTGGAGTTGCATGCTCCACCGCGCTACAAGAACGCATTCGTGTCGCTGGATGAGTTGTGCCTTCTCACCACTCTCCACATCACCGGGGCTTTCCTTGACCATGACGATCTCAAATGGTTGACCCGCGTGACTCAGTTGACCCACCTCAGCCTCGCTGCCTGCACGTTCTCAACTGAGAGCGAGGTCTTCCGATGGTGGGATCCCCCCTGTAGTGTGGCGAAGAGAATAGCAGACGCCATGCCGCATTTGGTGTCCCTCGACCTGTCGGGAACAGCAGTCACCAAAGAGGACATATTTGAACTGAAATATCTGAAGCACTTGGAGCGACTGACTCTGCAGCAGTGCTGCAATCTGAGTGCGTCGTTTGTGCGGTACCTCGGGTTCATTCCTCTTCTCAAGGAGCTGGATCTAAGTTTTAACAACATGCCGGCTGCGTGGTTGAGGCACGTTGTGGAAGGGAAGCGGGTGAGGTGGCTGAGTGTGAGGGGGTGTGGGTACAAGGAGAAGACTGTGCGTGGGCTTGAGCAGCCTTGGATTGTGATTGACTCGTGATGTGATGGTTATTCTTGGGATACCTTGTGTGTGGTGCACGGCATGTGGTACGGGCATTGGTCAAGTTTTGAGGTGACGGCGGAATGCAAGGTCGTATGCGAATCGTCAACGGCCTTAAATTGGTATTGTTCATGAGATTGCTTGCAAGGGATGGCTTGCAAGGGATGGCTTGCAAGGGATGGCTTGCACGGGTTGCCTTGTATGGGATGGTGCATGAGATGTCATGCTTGCATGGTATATGGAGGATCATCATGCTCCATCCATGGCGTATGATGCATTATGATGGAGCATGTGCGATAGCATGCTTTTTCCATGTGTGCGTGTTGCATGCAGTGAGGCATCTTGTTCAGTTAGAAAAAGGAGGTAAATTAGTGTTGGCATGGTATGTTAGGGAGGTGTTTATTACCGGTATCCGGTTGGCAGCTAGTGGAGAGGTTATGCATGGGAATGCTACAATGCAAGCAAGGTATGGTAGTGGTATTAATGTTTGTGGCATATATTGAGGTCCCAAGATTTGACATGTAAGGAAAAAATGTAATACCAGTATGAGTTCTATGATGTGTGAACATTTGTAATATGCATTCAATATAGTTGTGATTAATGCCTCCCAATAGCTTTGTGATATGATTTTGTTTCACCACACTCAAAATGTTCATAGTGACACCACGCTATATCTTGTACAGCTTCCGCACAGCTTGCACCTCCACCGTTATCCGTTCGTCATTTGCGTTTTGATCGGGCTCGAGCAGTATAACCGCTCATCCAAGCGCTACTTGGCTTCCGCGTTATTTGAGCCCACCGCGCAAACAGATCTCTTTCGAGTCCAGTTAGTCCCTCTCGAGACTCTGTTTTGATCCCTCTCATCTAATTCGACGACTGGCAGACAGTTTCTTACAGTGTTCGCATCAGTCACTGGCAGCCGAGCGCGTCGCATCGCCTTCTTATCGCCCCTTCTTGACGCGGTGCGTGAGTGTGTAGTCTGTTTATTCTCGCGACTAAGGTCCGCAGTTTGCCAGACGTAGGGCGTGTTTATCTCGCCTAGCTAGACCGGGTCTCATGGAGGACGCAGAGGCGCGGCGATCTCGCCTGCGCGGCATGCGCGAGTCCGCGGCGAAGCAGCAGGCGGCGTCCCCCGGGCCCGTGCCTTCCGCCGCGCTCTCCGCACTCCCCTCCCCCGATTTCTCCCCCGCCGGCGCTTATCCGCATGCATCCGCGCCGGCCGGGGCGCTAACGGGGGAAGGCGGACATGGGGAAGGTAGATCTGCTAGACGGCCGGCGGGGGCAGCAGGGGCAGGCTCGGGGGGATTCTCTTTTTACACGGATCCTATGGCAGCCTATCAGCAGCAGCCACGTGTAGGGCCCGGATTGGGCCCGCCTGCCATGCGCACTCCCTCCCCGCGCTTGCCTTCCCCACAGCTTCCGCCCTCCCCTCTCCCTTCCGCAGGCTACTTTCCTTCCGCCAGCCAACACCCCGTTCCACCAAGCCACACCCCTCCCCCAGGCCAAACCCCGCTTTCCGCGCATACCCCTCCTCCGCTCGCCTACACCCCGCCCCCCAGCTATACCCCTCCGCCCAGTTACACCCCTCCGCCTGGCCACGCCCCTCCCCCACCTTCCGCGGGTCCCCCAAGCACAGGACCATTCAGTGCGCCCATCCTCCACCATCCCCCCCCGGGTGGCGGAATGGGGATGACTTTCTCCCCCCTGCCCGCGCCCATGCGCCAGGCCACCCCTCCCTCCGCGCCCCTGTACCAGTCAACGCCTCCCCCGGGTATGACCCCCCAAGGCGCGCCTGGTGCTGCCTCCCCCATGCACCTCCCCCCTGCCTCGTGGGGGGGTCCGCCTGGCGCAGGCGATCAGAGTTACGCTGGGTCGGGTTACCAGCAACAGGGTTACCAGCAGCAGGGTTACCAGCAACAGGGTTACCAGCAACAGGGTTATCAGCAGCAGGCGGGCAAGGGGTGGGATGGCGGGGGGAGAGGTGGATGGGGGCAAAGCAGAGGAGAGGGAGGGGGAGGGGGGAGAGATGGGGGCAGAGGGGGAGGAGTAGGGCAGTGGGGTGGGCGGGGGGGCATGGATGGCAGAAAAAGGCCTTGGGAGGGGCAAGGAGGGGAGAGAAGCAGTTACGATAGGGGAGGGGAGGGTGCGAGTCCGAGTGGGGGTGGAGGGAGAGGGGGGTGGAATAGGGAAGAGAGGGGGAGTGGAGGAGGGTGGGGTGGAAATAGAGGGGCGGGAGGGAGGGGAGCAGGAAGAGGAGGGGGAGGAAGGGGAGGGAGAGGAGGGAGGGGAGGTAGAGGGAGCGTTTCCGCACGGGAGCAACCGGAAGCGTTTTTCTCGCCAAGGTTTCTAGAGGATCCGTGGAAGCATCTAAATTGACCCCAAACCCTATGCGTTCCTTGGCTCATTTCAGATATGGGTTGTGGTTACCGCCAAATTGCAGTTGGCTAGATTGCTGATTTGTCAAGCTGAGTTTCAAATCTTGGTTGGCTTAGGCAGGGATCATCTTAGCTACATTCTGTAATGTCATATGAAGATAATCTCTAAAGTTGATGGTTCGGTTGTGTAACCACGACGAGGACTGCGAGCGAGGCACCCAAAGTCGAAGCCAACTGCAAGCGAACGGATGGTCACGCACTCCTTCTCCCAATTGGAACGAATCTGGTAACTGACTTCTCTAATCTCGCAAATCGCAAATCCCAATCAGGGAGTCACGCGTTTAGTCAGCAGGCGACATTCCGCGATTGGCGACATTCCGTGCTTCCCTTCCATACCTTAGTCATCAGTTGCGAGCCGTAATGGCTCTCGCAGATCATTCCCTCGCGTCGCGTCGCGACCACGTCGCGAGGTCTTTAAACGGCTTCTCTTTGCTGCGGGATGCCGAACCTTCCACTCGTTCATTCCAAGATTCCAACAGTCGCGATACAAGCAGCCGCGGTAGCTCCATTAGCGCCAGCGCGATAGTAAGCAAAGGCAGCGCGCTGTTTCGCGACGGCGGCTCGCTGCAATCGCACATGGCCGCAGCCCTCTCGAGCGGAATGCGCGCCGCTGCTCCGCTAGTAGCGGGAGGGTTGGCACAGGCGCAGTCCGCGCAGCAGCAAAACCGCCGCCCGGAGAAGCCTTTGAAGACGGAGGGGCGGAGAAATGCGGAGACGGGAAATGGCGGAAGCAATGGGGGGAAGAATGGCGGGTTGAAGCGAGGCAACAGCGGCAGCAAAAGGGAAAATGTTCAGGATACCCCTCCCTCCTCTCCTTCCCTCGCCTCGCTCTCTCCTTCCTCCTGGATTCCTCTCCCGCTCTCCTCTCAAACCCCTTCCTCCTCTGCCACCTCACCATTCCAACTCCTAACTCAGTTCAGACTCCTCTCGGGCAGCAATCACTTTCACCATGCTGCCCGCACTGTTCAACCGAGTGACACTGTTCATCCGGGCGGCATCTGGGGGAGGCTGGCGCAGGGCGGCTGGTGGCCGGCAGGGGAGCAGGCAGAGGAGGTGGAGCTATCCGGAGTGCACAAGGTGGGTTCAGTGCGGTCCATTGCGGTTCGCCACAGCACTCTCGTTTCTTCTTCTCCAGCCTCCTCCTCTCTCCACTCTCCTCCCCTCCTCTCTCCATTCTCCCTCCCTCCTCTCCCCTGCTCTCTCCTCTCCCCCCTCCTCCTCTCTCCACTCTCCCGCCCCTCCCCACGCAGCTGGGCCTGTGGACCACAGTAGAGCCCTGCATTCGCGCATCTCGGCAGCATCTGGGGGAGGTACATCTGAGGGTAGTGCGCCGCCTCGTCCTGCCCCTTCCCACACTCTCCTCCCCCTCCACCACTCCCTCTCAACTATCCTCCTCCTCCTCCTCCTCCTCCTCCTCCTCCTCCTCCTCCTCCTCCTCCTCGTCCTCCTCCTCGTCCTCCTCCTCCTCCTCCTCCTCCTCCTCCTCCTCCTCCCATCTCGCAGCGCCGTGCCAGCTGGCACTGACAGCTGTCTCCAACACGAGGAGTCGAGCCGTGGGAACAGCAGAGGTGCTCATAGGGTGGGTGCTTATAGGGTGGGTTCCCTTACGAGTGGTTAATGATATGGGGTACTGATTAGGTCTGTGCAGGGGGCGTTGGGGTGCACGAGGTGCCCAGCTGTCTCTGACACAAGGAGCCGGGCCGTGGGCACAGCAGAGGTGCTCGTAGGGTGGGTGCTCACAGGGTGGGTGGTGATAGGGTGGGTGCTCATAGGGTGGGTGCTGATGGGGTGGGTGCTGATGGGGTGGGTGCTGATGGGGTGGGTGCTGATGGGGTGGGTGTGGGTGCTGATGGGGTGGGTGCTGATGGGGTGGGTGCTGATGGGGTGGGTGCTGATGGGGTGGGTGCTGATGGGGTGGGTGCCGATGGGGTGGGTGTGGGTGCTGATGGGGTGGGTGCTGATGGGGTGGGTGCTGATGGGGTGGGTGCTGATGGGGTGGGTGCTGATGGGGTGGGTGCTGATGGGGTGGGTGCTGATGGGGTGGGTGCTGATGGGGTGGGTGCTGATGGGGTGGGTGCTGATGGGGTGGGTGCTGATGGGGTGGGTGCTGATGGGGTGGGTGTGGGTGCTGATGGGGTGGGTGCTGATGGGGTGGGTGCTGATGGGGTGGGTGCTGATGGGGTGGGTGCCGATGGGGTGGGTGTGGGTGCTGATGGGGTGGGTGCTGATGGGGTGGGTGCTGATGGGGTGGGTGCTGATGGGGTGGGTGCTGATGGGGTGGGTGCTGATGGGGTGGGTGCTGATGGGGTGGGTGTGGGTGCTGATGGGGTGGGTGCTGATGGGGTGGGTGCTGATGGGGTGGGTGTGGGTGCTGATGGGGTGGGTGCTGATGGGGTGGGTGCCGATGGGGTGGGTGTGGGTGCTGATGGGGTGGGTGCTGATGGGGTGGGTGCTGATGGGGTGGGTGCTGATGGGGTGGGTGCTGATGGGGTGGGTGCTGATGGGGTGGGTGCTGATGGGGTGGGTGCTGATGGGGTGGGTGCTGATGGGGTGGGTGCTGATGGGGTGGGTGCTGATGGGGTGGGTGCTGATGGGGTGGGTGTGGGTGCTGATGGGGTGGGTGCTGATGGGGTGGGTGCTGATGGGGTGGGTGCTGATGGGGTGGGTGCCGATGGGGTGGGTGTGGGTGCTGATGGGGTGGGTGCTGATGGGGTGGGTGCTGATGGGGTGGGTGCTGATGGGGTGGGTGCTGATTGGGTGGGTGCTGATGGGGTGGGTGCTGATGGGGTGGGTGCTGATGGGGTGGGTGCTGATGGGGTGGGTGCTGATGGGGTGGGTGCTGATGGGGTGGGTGCTGATGGGGTGGGTGCTGATGGGGTGGGTGCTGATGGGGTGGGTGCTGATGGGGTGGGTGCTGATGGGGTGGGTGCTGATGGGGTGGGTGCTGATGGGGTGGGTGCTGATGGGGTGGGTGCTGATGGGGTGGGTGCTGATGGGGTGGGTGCTGATGGGGTGGGTGCTGATGGGGTGGGTGCTGATGGGGTGGGTGCTGATGGGGTGGGTGCTCAATTTTCAGTTCGCTCACAAGGTGGGATAGGCATGACATGACAGTCAGGAGAACACGGGTATGCTCCACTCCCTTATTCCCCTCAACACCCTCTTGCCTTATCCGCCCGCTTGTTCGCCTCAACCCCTTCCGCTCTTACCCTCCCGATTGTTCCCCTCAAACTCCTCCGCTCTTACCCACCCGCGAATCGCGATACATGCCTGCCTTTTGTCATTCATCTTACATGTGAAATCCTGATTCCCCATTCTCCCTTCCGTCTCCTTCCGCCCATCCATCTCCCATGTTTCCTATCTCTACCTCCCAATGTGATCCCCCGCTTTATGGCAAGGGGTGTTTGGGTGCACAAGGTGCTCTACTCTAGCCTCTGATATGCCTCCATTGCCACATTTCTGGCCCTCATACTCGCAATTTACATTTCTCGTCATTCTCCCCATACTCGCAATTTACATTTCTCGCCATTCTCCCCATACTCTCAATTTACATTTCTCGCCATTCTCCCGATACTCGCAATTTACATTTCTCGCCATTCTCCCGATACTCGCAATTTACATTTCTCGCCATTCTCCCCATACTCGCAATTTACATTTCTCGCCATTCTCCCCATACTCGCAATTTACATTTCTCGCCATTCTCCCCATACTCGCAATTTACATTTCTCACCATTCTCCCCATACTCGCAATTTACATTTCTCGCCATTCTCCCCATACTCGCATAGTCTGCATCTTTGCTCTCCACTGGCTGGGACTCGTCCCTCCTTCTCCGGTCACACTAATTTTCTCAATCGAAACGAGTGCCAATCTCTTCCTCCAAATCTCCCTTTCTTTTATGTTCTGTCTTGTGCTGCCATTGGCACGACCAAGTGACTTTCTCGCTAAATGCATTTTCTATCTCTTCAATGCACGACCTTAGGTCTCCAGACGAACTTCTCTCACTTCTCTCTCTTCTAGAGCAATTTGCAGACGGGTCACACCAGTGCCACCCCCGCTCACAACTCTTACTAAACCCCAGTGGTTACAGAAAGCGCTACTGTTACGTGTGCCCAATTGCCCTTACAGTACCCTTCAAATGCTCTTTGATTCTGCTTACGATTCACCCCACCCAGTGCCTTTGCTCTTTCAAATCTTTGTTCCCCTTTCAGTGATCGCCGGGAGGGCCACTCTGTGAGCGCTGCCGTGACCTGTGACCTCGCGCACTCGCTCTCTCTCAATGCTGCCACATCGCACCGGTAAGTTTCTACCACTTTTGACGTTCGCACGCACGCATGCACACACACGCATGCACACACACGCATGCATGCGTGCTCTCTCTCAATGCTGCCACAGTGCCACAAGCCACATGGCACCAGTACTTCTAAATCACAATGACGTGACTTGTGCCTCATCCCACATATGCACGCACGCATGTGCGCGCGCGCACACACACACGCACACATGGGCGCACACAGACATGCGCGGGGGCGCGCGCGCACACACACACACAAGAAAAGCATCCAAACTCCGGAGGCAAAGCGACAATCCTTCTATCAGCTGTTCCACTCCCACACGTCTGTCTCCGCTGCATATCATCCGTCCATCTCCCCATCTCATCCGTCCATCTCCCCATCTCATCCGTCCATCTCCCCATCTTTGAGCCCCCACCAGGCTCACCTCTTCAGCATGGCTGTACACGCGAGTCACAGCGCACAGCAAGCATTCCTCATTCCAATACTGTACCTATCACACACGTCCATCTCCCCATCTCCACTGTACCCCCCACCAGCCTCACCTCTGCAGCGTGGCTCTACACGCGAGTCACAGCACACAGCAAGCATTCCTCATTCCAATTCTGTACCTATCACACACGTCCATCACCACAGCTCATCCGTCCATCTCCACAGCTCATCCGTCCATCTCCACAGCTCATCCGTCCATCTCCACAGCTCATCCGCCCATCTCCACAGCTCATCCGTCCATCTCCACAGCTCATCCGTCCATCTCCACAGCTCATCCGTCCATCACCACAGCTCATCCGTCCATCTCCACAGCTCATCCGTCCATCTCCACAGCTCATCCGTCCATCACCACAGCTCATCCGTCCATCTCCACAGCTCATTCGTCCATCTCCACAGCTCATCCGTCCATCTCCACAGCTCATCCATCCATCTCCACAGCTCATCCGTCCATCTCCACAGCTCATCCGTCCATCTCCACAGCTCATCCGTCCATCTCCACAGCTCATCCGTCCATCTCCACAGCTCATCCGTCCATCTCCACAGCTCATCCGTCCATCTCCACAGCTCATCCGTCCATCTCCACAGCTCATCCGTCCATCTCCACAGCTCATCCGTCCATCTCCACAGCTCATCCGTCCATCTCCACAGCTCATCCGTCCATCTCCACAGCTCATCCGTCCACAGCTCATCCATCCATCTCCCCATCTTTGAGCCCCCATCAGGCTCACCTCTTCAGCATGGCTGTACACGCGAGTCTCAGCGCACAGCAAGCAGCCCGACCGAACAAGAGTGCTGCTGCAGGTATTGCCCTGCCCATGCAGGTGGGGTGGGTGTTGCAGGTGGGGTGGGTGTTGCAGGTGGGGTGGGTGTTGCACAGGTGTACTGGGTACGACAGGTAAGTGTGAAAACGAATATTGTCTACAGGTAACCTGGTAACAGGTAACCTAGCCTTTAACGCGGGATATTACATGCTTGTTTGCAATTTCCATGCAGATTACTTCATGTGTGTTCATTCGTTCAATGTGATTCCACTTCTCTCTCAATCACTTGTACCCAACCCCTCTACCCCATCCCATCCTTCATCCTCTCCCATCATTCCTTCATCCCCTCCCATCCTTCTTCCATACTCTCCCATCCCTGCTCATCTCCCATCCCTCCTCATCTCCCATCCTTCCTCACATCTCACCCCCCACCACTCTCCCACTCTAGTGGGTTCTTCGACCAACTCTCCGCCACACCTTATCAACGCTCCTCGCTCTCTCGCCCTTTTGAGTCGACTCGAAATTCATTGCCTACATCCCCTTTCATCCTTCCTCACATCTCACCCCCCACCACCCTCCCACTCTAGTGGGTACTTCGACCATATCCCCGCCACACCTTCTCACCCCTCCTCGCCCTCTCGCCCGCTCGTCCCGCTCAAGCCGTGGTCACATGGAAGACTCAGAGCTTGCCTGCTGCAGGTGAGGATGGGTTGCGGGGATGGCGGGTGCGATAGAGGATAAGCACGTCAACACACTCGCTCTTTCAGCTTCCCCTCTCGCCCTCTCGTCCACTCATCCCACTCAAACCATGGTCACGTGGAAAAATCAGAGCCTGCTTACGACAGGTGAGGATGGAGTGTGAGGGCAGGGGGTAAATGTTTGTGCACTATCTCACTTGGTCCTTTCCTCTCGCCCTCTTGCCCGCTCGTCCTGCTCAAGCCGTGGTCACGTGGAAGAGCCAGAGCCTGCCTGCTGCAGGTGAATATAGGGTGCGAGAATAGAGAGTGGATGAGGTCACATTTGAAGACTCTCGTTTGGCTCACATGGAGGTCTGAGAGGGCTCACAGTGAGGATAGGAATTGACGATAGAGAGTGAAGATGGCTGGTGATAATAGAAGGTGAGGATAGAGGATATATACATGACACACTCGCACCTAGGCCTCCCCTCTTGCCCTCGCGGCTCAGGCCCCCTCGGCCTGTTGCGTCCATGTGACATCGCTTGTTGACTGTTGATGATACACGATTGCCGTCTGAGTGCCATCCAGCAGTCCTGTCTATACCACTGTTCCCATGAACATGTCACGCCATTCCCTTCCCCAACCCCCACCCCCACACCCCCCCTTTAAACCCTCTTTAATCACTTATTGTTGCAAGCATTTTTTCAGGTAAAAGAATACTCGTCGTCACTCATTCCATCCTTAACCTACCTCCGCTCATGTTATTTTTGTCTTGATAAGTTGATTGTCTCCTACTCAACTACATCCCATTCCCTCCACGACCAACAGGCACCACTCACCATTCGCTACAGATGCATCTCTTTCTGTCACGTCACAGGCCCATAAGTCGATCGTTTTGTGTTACTTCTGTCTTCATAAGTTGATTGTCTCCTAGTCAACTGTATCCCTGCCCCTCCACCACCAGCAGGCACCACTCCGCATTCTCTACAAATGCGTCTCTTTCTGTCGAGTCAGGGGGGCATGGCTTTCAGGCTCAATGCAGCAATGGGCGATGGATTTACAGATGGGGATGCAGTAGAAGGGGTGATGCTGGACTGTTAGCTCACAGAGACTTTTGAATCAACTCACAAGTAGCTTCAAACTCAATGCAGCTGTGGGCGATGGAATTGCACACAGGGATTTGCAATCTTAGGGGTGAGGCGAGGGCGATGCTGGACGCTTGGCCGGGGCTTGGGCGAAGGCGCTATGCCATGCTTTCTGTCACAACACGGGGCCACGCCACGGCTCTCAGGCAGGCTCAATGCTGCCATGGGTCGTGGATTTGCAGACGGGGTTGCTATAAAAGGAGCGATGCTGGTCCTTGAGTTGAGGCTTGGGCAATACGGTATGCTATGGTTTATAAGACGATGCGCTGCAATCTGTGTTCTCACGTCACGTGGCCATAACTCTTACCTCGCCTCTGTGTCATCAGCCATCCAAATCCGAGTATCATTTGAGATAGCGAGGCACTAGACTAGAATCGACGTTACTTTACTGCAGATCCATTGCTGCTTAGTCACCCACTGAGATGCATCAGCATACCAACGAGCTGGCATACGGCACCAAGTTTAGTGATAAATGGCAGAATGATTATGCTGAGCTGAGGTTTGTCTCAAGAGCTGATAACAGAACAGGCATTCCTAGCATGTCCGTCATGTTAGTGAGTAGATAAGAACTGGTACTCTATCTGTATAAATAATGTTAACACCAGACACTTTGGTGAGCAGATTATAACTACTGGTGGTACTCTATCTGCATAAATAGTGGTAACACCTGAAAGGTCCCGTTACAACAACCCTCTCCCCCCTTTTGTAGGCGAGCTGGGCCTCCTCCCATTCTCCCCCATCACCCCCCCATACTCCACATCCCCCTCCCCCTCCTTCCCCATCCCCGCTCCCCCTCCCTCCTCCCCCTTCTGCACTGGCAGCAGAGGCAACCCCTCCTTTCCTCCCTTCACCTCCTTCCCGCCCTTCTCCCCCTTCTCCTTCTCCACAGCCCAGCTATACAGCACCATGCCGACAATAGCCATGAGCATGCCACTGAAGTTCTTGAGTGTAAACGGGTCCTTGAAAACCGTCCAGCCCAGGATTAGTACCACCACAGTCTTCATGTGCCCCAGCACTTGGAAGGACGTTGCCGAGAACTTTCCGATGCAGAGGTAGACGGAGAGGTTGCAGCCGATGGCGAAGGCGCACGAGAGGAAGATGAAGAGCTGGCGGTGGGGAGCGGTGGGGAGGGGGAGAGGGTGGTAGAGAGGGATAAGAAGGGGAGTTCGGGAAAGGGAAGTCAAACATATGAGAGGTCAATAGAGGGAGTGGGGAGGGTGGGGAGGGATGGAGAGGGGTGGAGGGGGGGAATGGGGGGATTTGGGGAAGGGAAGTGGAACATATGAGAGGTCTATGGGGGTTGACGGCTAAGACACAGGAGAGGGAGATGAAGAATTGGAGATGGGATGGGTGGGGAGTGGCGGGTCAAGGGAGGAGGGCCAAGGGAGAGCGAGAGGAGAGCGGGCGAAGGGTTGGGAATGGGCCTTGAGGGGGAAGGACTGCTTTTGGTAAAAGGGGAGCAGGCGGAAGATGCCATGTCGACGCTCACCGCAGCGTTGCTGGTGACGGGGAACTCGAGAAGGTTCTGCGAGGTGAGGAGGTAGTCAAGGAAGGGCCCGACAATCACAAGGGTCACGGCCTGGATGGGCGCTGTCTGCCTGAGCAGGTCGAACGACCCCACGTTGTGCTTCCTCTGCAGCTCGCCCACAAACTGAGGAAGAGGAGGAAGGAGGGGCAGAGGAGGGAATGGCATGGCAATAAGGTGTATGTGTGCGCGCACGCATGCGCGTTCGTGTGCGTGTGTGTGTGTGTGCGCGCGCGCGCGCGCGCGCGCGCGTGCGTCCGTGCGTGCGTGCGTGAGTGCGTGCGTGCGTGCGTGCGTGCGTGTGTGTGTGCACGCGCGTGCGCGCATGTATATAGGGCCTGCCTACGGCAGCAAGTCACATCAGCCCATACTGTGCTTTCACTGAAACTCGCCCAGCGCACACACTGAAGGGGACAAGGGACCAACGGAGAGCAGAGGAGAGAGAGCAGAGGAGGTGCATTTGTGCACCCCCCAAGGCAAGGCAGTGGAACCCTCACCTCCCCTCACCCTACCATTGCTGCTGGATAAGGAACACTCACTCACTATCTGCTGCGGGGACGTAGAAACCAAACCGTCACCACAGTATCCCCTCAAAAACCCAACGGCTTTAACAAAGAGGTATGTGATAGCGCACACGTGCACCCCCTCATACCCCCCCAAACGGCCACCTCAACCTCCCTGGCTCTTGAGGCGCCTCACAAGTCGACTCAGAGGACAGGTCCCACAATCGCTGTTGCGCATCATAAGACTTACAATCTGCTGCAGGGACGTAGAAACCACCGCCACTGTAGCGGTAACGAGCCCAAAGGCGTTAACGGAGATGTCTGTGACGGTGCACACGCCCACGCCCAGCCCAGCCACCATACCTCCATATCTGCCACCCATCATGCACCCACCGCACCTGTAGGAGATTCGTCCTGCCACTCACAATCTGCTGCAGGGACGTTGAAACCACCGCCACAGTAGCGGCACCGAGCCCAAAGGCGTTTACAGAGATATCAGTGATGGTGCACACGCCCACGCCCAGCATGACCGCCACCCCCACCCCGCCTACAGGCTGGCCGCACTGCCGAATGAGGAACACTTACGATCTGCTGCAGAGATGTCGATACCACGGTAACGAGCCCAAACGCGTTGACAGATATGTCTGTAACAGTGCACACGCCCACCCCCAGCAACCCACAGCCCACCTGTAGGCTACCTCTGGTGCTGAGTGAAGAACACTCACGATCTGCTGCAGAGACGTCGATACCACCGCCACGGTAGCGGTAACGAGCCCAAAGGCGTTGACAGATATGTCTGTGACGGTGCAGACACCCACGCCCAGCATGACCGCCACCACTGACAGCTTGACCTCCCGCGAGTAGGACTTGGCGTGCAGCAGCGTCTCACACAGACAGGTCACTGGTATGATGGCGAGTTTAGATATCTGATGGGGGTGAAGAGAGGGGATGGGGAGGGGAGGGGGGAGGTGGATGGGGAGCGGGTTAAGGGGTGGCGTTGAGGGGGTGAGAGCTTGACTTGGCGTGCAGCAGCGTCTCACACAGACAGGTCACCGGGATGATGGAGTGCTTCGATATCTGATGGGGGGTAGGGGATGGGAAGGGGAAGGGGAAGGGATGGAAGGGAAGGGAAAGGGGATGGGGGATGGGAAGGGGGTTACGAGGTGGTGCGGAGGGCGTGAGAGCTTGACCTCACACATGGGGGTTATGAGGGTGTGGAGGGAAGAGGGTACTGGGAGAGGGAAGGGGGGATTTGGGGCGTGTTTTTTTTCCTCGTCAACTCCACTGGTTTTTTTTAGTACTCCACTGGAAGTTTTTTTTAGTGCTCAAAACTTCGTCAAACCCCCACTCCTCTCTTCCTCTCTGACCCGTTCATCCTCTCCCAACCTCTCCTCCGCTTGCTCACCTGGTAGAACCCCACGGAGTTAGACATGAGGGACAGGTTCATGCCGACAATGGAGAGGTTTGCGAGCATCCGGTGGGTGGGGGGGGGAGATCAAGAGAGGTTCAAACCCCCACCTGGTAGAACCCCACGGAGTTGGACATGAGGGAGAGGTTCATGCCGACGATGGAGAGGTTGGCGAGCATGGGGTGGGGAGGTCAACAGAGGTTCAACCCCCCCCTCCCCTCACCTGGTAGAAGCCAACCGAATTAGACATGAGGGAGAGGTTCATGCCAACGATGGAGAGGTTGGCGAGCAGAGGGGGAGGTTGGGGGGCCGGGCGTGTAAAGGGCAACCCTAACGTGCGAGCTACTCTTTCCATCTTCCCCCGCCCTCACCTGGTAGAACCCCACGGAGTTGGACATGAGAGACAGGTTCATGCCGACGATGGAGAGGTTGGCGAGCAGAGGGGAGGGCCGGACGCGCCAAAGCCCTGCCTGGCCAAACCCCACTACTCGCTCCGTGTTCACTCTGTAACCCTGAGCTCACCTGGTAGAAGCCGACCGAATTAGACATGAGGGAGAGGTTCATGCCGACTTTGGAGAGGTTGGCGAGCATGCCGAACCACAATCAGGGCAAATTTTTCGTTTTTGAAGGCACGGAAAGCTCCGGGTTCGCCTGAGAAAAGACCCTGAAGAATCAGTATTCCCTCGAAGGTTTCCCTTCCGCGTCCGTGTGTTGTTCCAAAAATCCGAAAATGCACAGGAGCAGTTCTATTACCCTAGGCGCAAGAGGCTCTAAAACGTCTAAGTTGGTTGGGCAAGGACCAACAAACCTGAAATTTGCGTCGTCTGACAGCACTTATGGCAATCGTTGCATTCGATATCCTACACAAGAACTGGTACCGAGCTAAAATATCAGGATTGTTTTCGAAACAATACTGAAGTCCCCGAACGCTTAGCCGAATCATCCGGAAATGGTCCGGATGATTTCTAAAACGATTCTGATGAATCAGGGCTAGCCGAAAAAACATACGGAATGTACCTGAGTTTCAGAGTGTTTACCCGGATGCCGAGAGCCCTGACCACAATCACCCTCCTTCTCATCCTCCCTCTTCCTCTCTCCTACCCTTCCCCTCCCCCTTGTTTCCCCATCTCACCTGATAAAAGCCGACCGAATTAGACATGAGGGAGAGGTTCAAGCCGACGATGGAGAGGTTGGGCGAGCATGCCGAACCACACGATGTCCCACAGAGGGATGTTGGCCGTCCCCGATAGGTACCACCTCCCACCCTCTCTCCCTCATTCCCCCCCCTGCCTTCACCTGGTAGAAGCCAACAGAATTAGACATGAGGGAGAGGTTGCCTCCCAACCAGTCCCTCTCGCATCGCACCTGGTAGAAGCCGACCGAATTAGACATGAGCGACAGGTTCATGCCAACGATGGAGAGGTTAGCGAGCATGCCGAACCACACAATGTCCCACAGAGGGATGTTGGCCGTCCCCGATAGGTACCCCAGCCACACGCACAGCGCGCCAAACAGGCCAGTGAATGTAAGGTGGAAACCCGTTAGGGTGGTGGCTGAAAGATGGGATGGGAGAGGGGAGGAGAGTCGGGAAGGAGGAAAGGAGCGAGTTGATGTGTGTCCCACAGAGGGATGTTTGCCTGACCCGACAGGTGCCCCAGCCACATGCACATCGCGCCAAACAGGCCCGTGAACGTGAGGTGGAATCCCGTTAGGGTGGTGGCTGGTGGGGAAGGGAGAGGGGAGGAGAGGCGGGAAGGAGGTAAGGACCGAGTTGAAGTGTGTCCCAGAGGGGGATGTTTGCCTGCCCCGACAGGTATGCCAGCCACACGCACAGCGCACCGAAGAGACCCGTGAACGTGAGGTGGAATCCCGTTAGGGTGGTGGCTGGTTGGGTGGGTGGGGTTGGAGGTGGGGGGAGGGGACGGGGGAGAGAAGGGAATGACAAGAAGCAACTATATGTGCGTGTCACAGAGGGATGTTGGCCTGCCCCAGCCACACGCACAGTGCCCCTAACAGCCCTGTGAACGTGAGGTGGGAACCAGTTGGGGTGGCGGCTGGTGGGGGGGGAGAGGTGGAGAGGAGACGGCAATGAGGGAAAGAGGGAACGCAGGTCTCATTCTGAGATGTTGGCCTGCCCTGATGGTTACCCCAGTCACACGCACGTGGGGTGGAATCCCGTTAGTGTGGTGGTTGGTCGGGGGTGGTGGTGGTGAGGGAGGAATGGGGGGGGGGAAGAAACGGGAACGAGGGGAGGGGGAACCGTGGAGAGGAGGGAACGAAGGTCATAGTGTGTCGCACAAGGGATGTTAGTAGGTGGATGTGAGAAGGTGAGTATGAGGAAGTGGATGTGAGGAGGGAAATGTGAGGAGGGAAATGTGAGGAGGGAAATGTGAGGAGGGAAATGTGAGGAGGGAAATGTGAGGAGGGAAATGTGAGGAGGGAAATGTGAGAAGGGAAATGTGAGGAGGGAAATGTGAGGAGGGAAATGTGAGAAGGGAAATGTGAGAAGGGAAATGTGAGAAGGGAAATGTGAGAAGGGAAATGTGAGAAGGGAAATGTGAGGAGGGAAATGTGAGAAGGGAAATGTGAGAAGGGAAATGTGAGAAGGGCTTTCTCTCTCTCCCTCTCTCGACCGCAGCTCGGGATACGCTGTGAGGGAAATGTGAGGCGCGCTTGAGGCCGCCCAGTTGGTACACTCGCGGCTTTGCGAAGCATTCCTCTCTGCTGTCGCTCCGACGGGTCTCGGGCAAGTTGAGGACACATCTCGCATTGTGATTGACCGCGCGAATGCGACCGGATGGACTCGCGATTGATGAAGAACGCGCGAAGGAACCACGAAACATGGATTGCATGGCGAGCGGATTGGTGGAAGCTGGCACCCTTTTCATCTTGTTAAAGCGCGAGATTCGTGGCACACACTACAGAGTATGTAAACGAGCAATGCTGTGTACGAATCATTCCGTTTACAGATTCCGCAGCGTGTGCGACCAAGGCGTCGGCTGTCAGGGTACAAATGCCTTATGCTTCATCCCCCTTTTTTCCAATCCGTATGCGTTGCTGGTATCTTGTGCAAATGTAAGGCGTACCGAGGGCAAGTCATCGTAGATATGAACAAGAATGCGAATGGCGAGAGACCCATCGAAGACGAATGGCGACGAATGAGCAACGCGATGTAGGCGTTTGAGCGACACACCGAAGGCGAATGAGCGACGTATTGAAGTTTTTGAACAATACGCTGAAGAGGAAGCGGTTGGAGGGCATACGACGTTGCTGATCATGATGAGCCGCACGCTGGTGACGCGCCTTCGGTCGACTGGCGTAGTAAATGCACCTCTTTCATCTAATCAAGACGTACCAAATTCCAATACGCACCGAAGACGAAGCGCGTAGGACATGACGACCTTGTTGATCATGATGAGCCACACGCCGAAGACACCGCATTTACAGCAGAATCCGTGGTAAATGCACCTGATAGATCGATTGAGAGCGTACTACAGTAAAGAACCCACCGAAGACGAAGCGGTAGGAGGACAGACGACCTTGTTGATACACCGTAGAGGGAATGAAGAGGTACTACAGTCGAAATGCACCTGGAATCAACGTGTACCAAATTCGAAGACGCACCGAAGACGAAGCGGTAGGAGGACATGACGACCTTGTTGATCATGATGAGCCCGACTGAGCTCACGATGTTCATCGCCCATGCCCCCGCCGGCGATATCGCCTGCGGATTGTTAAACATCTCGCTGACTTAAAACAGCTGACTTAAAACAGCTGACTTCAAACAGCTGACTGCGAGTGGCGGCTCAATGGGAGTGGATGCGGTTGCCTAGTTGAGATTCTCGGCTGCGAGGTGGTGGTTGACTGCGAATTCTCGATTCGCGGCGAGTCGCGAAGGGCTCGTATTCGCAGTGGGAAGCTACTGAAAAAACAGCGATTTTTAGCTGCACAAATCGTTCTAGCCTCCTGTGTCAGCAGCACGCCTGTCAAAGACTCCCAGAACGGAGACTAGTTTGCCTGCTGCCTCAGAGCACACCACAGTAATTGATCCGAATCTCACAAGTAGTTTTCAGTTTCGCCAAAGCTGAGCTCAGTCCTTTCGCACCTACCTCGCAGCAGCTATGGCGATGACAGGAATCGCGGTGGTTGGGTGAGAGCAGCAGAGGCGTGCACGCGGGCAGGCACATTCAGAAATACACACGTGAGTGTGGGAGAGTCAAGTGGTGCGGTGCGGAGTACCCAAACCGCCCACCGGTTTGGTTTGAAGTTTGAACCGCGCTTAACCAATCACATACATGCCGGAACTTGGTGTGTGGTTCGGAGGTCATATTGGGACTCGAGAGCCAGGACGAACGAACCTGGTAGTTCGCTTTGGTCAGGTGGCGGTCACAGGCCTCTCCTGGATTTTGCGAAGCCTCGCAAATCTGAGCTTAGCTTTGGCGCAATTCGCATACTGTACCCTTGTGGTTCAGTGTGGGTGCAGCTAGGGGCTCCCACGTGCATGTGCTCGTTGAGGTTGGTCGGTCAGGCCTGTGAAACTGACACAAGTCGCACAGGGAACTGTCAAGTCAATTTCCCACACGTCGCAGCAACGATCAACCTGCGTGCGAAGAGAACCTCAGCCTCTATATAAGACAAATGGCTTTCTAGGTCATGTGTAAGGATTTTTGACTTCCTTACCATAACCAGGCCCAAGTTTAAAGCAAGCGTATACATTTGAAAGTACTGTTGCTTTGGAACAGTACCCTCCCTCAGAGACAATTGGTGTATGTCACATGGTGTATGCGTGTATATCACAGTGTTTGTCATAGGGTGCATGCCACATGGTGTATGTATGGCATTGTACCGCTATATAAGAAAAGTCACATCCATGAGCATTTGAGACACAGCAAGAGCTAGCAATTAAACTGGGGAATGTACTATATTCAGCCCACCATCCTCCATAATTGATACCAATTCGCCTCATTCATATCCTCTAGAGTTCTTGATACCACAACACAGCCCACTTGCAAACCACACCTTGCATAGCAACGGGATCTGCCAGCACCATTGCACTGCAAACGGTGCTAGCTAATACGGTTTTGACCCCACCATGTTGCCCGGCGGCGAATAATCGCAAACCCAGATGCCGGCCCCATTCGCACACTGGGCAGCAGCGCACCCGACACGCTGGGTACCGCGCCACACCACTTGCGTGTAGTGCCCACACACCTTGCCGCCTGCACACCCCTTGGGCATGGCACTGTACGTCCAGTGCGCCTTCTCCGCCACCCACGCCCGCACCGCCGCCCCGTCCTCGGCACTGTTCAGCTTGGCAGGGCGCTTCCAGTACAGGTTCTGCCCAAGCCCCTTGGCCCCTCCGTGCTTCATTTTGCATCCGCTGGAGGCGAGGTGATCAGCCCACTGCTTCGCTGCTGCTGCCACTTTGTCGTCCCATGAGAGCGCCGGCACTCCCACTGCCCGCCGCGCCTTATTGTGCTCCTCCAGAATCGCCGCCTTGTCCACTCCCCTGCTGCCGCCGCCGCCGCTGCCGCCGCCGCTGCTGCTGCCACCGGTGCCGCCAGCATTGTAATTCTTGGAAGGTGCTCCCTTGCGCTGCCCGGGATTGGAGGCATGCACCAGCAGCACCTTGCGAGGTGCAGTGAGGGAGTGAGTGGTAGTGCTGGCGGCTGTGACGTCAGCAGCAGGCGTGGCTTCAGTGGGTGTGACGTCAGCGAGAGCTGGCACAGCGAGTGCAGAGGTGAGCATTGCGAATACTGGAGAAGGGGGTGGAATATGGATGGGGGGAGAGGGGCGGGCAAGCGAGGGGATCATGATGAGAGGAAATGACAGAGCACGAGAGGGAAGAAAAGGAAGGGGAAGGAAAAATGGAGATGAAAGGGAACAGGCGTGGAGAGAAAAGGACAGGGAATAACAGAAGCAGAAGAAGAAGAAAGGGAGAAACAGGAAAGAACAGGATGTAAGAGCAGGAGAGGAGAGGGAAGGGCAGAGGAGAGGGAAGAGCAGGAGGAGGGATGGGGAAGAGCAGGAGAGGAGAGGGATGCGCAGGAGAGGAGAGGGGAGAGCAGGGGAGGGGAGGGGAGAGCGGGAAAGAAAAAAGGTAAGGAAAGGAGAGCACAGGGAAGGAGATACATGGAGAAGGGGCAGGAAATACAGGAAAGGACAGGAGAGGGAAATCCAGTGCGAGAGCTATGAGCCACTGATCTACGCGCCGGCCTGTTCAAAACCAGAAACGGTTGGAGCACTCAACCTACTCTAACAGCGTCGGATTCAGCACTCACTCACTCAAACGACGGATCTCAAAACTCACCGAACGCAGAGCAGAGAAGATTCAGCATTCCGTCGAAAGCCATGGCCAACGGACCGAAATCAGGCGAGGCCCGCAGCGAATGAGATCGCGCGATTGGTACAAGTCTTTGCGTTTTTCTGAGGCTGCCGAGATGGTAAAACTGCCGTTGCGCGGAACTGAAGACTGCTTGAGAAAGGCTGGGGTAACACGAGCGAGCGGACTGATGAGATGTGATTTGAGAATGGCTGACGCGGCTCCATTTTATACTTCACGAGAGCAAGCTATCTCGTCAGAGGAAAAGGCGGCCCGAGGCGCCGTAGGTCGCGCTAGTGCAGTTCGACTTTCGAGACGGTGCAATCTGATCTGCCTGCGGCAGACGACTCGATAATTCCTGCGGACTTTTGTAACGAGACGAATTCCTGCCGTCTTTTTACAAGCAGCTACAGCGACGCCTGCGAAGATGCGTGAAGCACGGCGCGAGGCCCCGTAATAGACCGCGGTCGACGTGGTAGCGATGATAATCTCGAGACTGGGCCTTGCGGATAAATCCGTCTGATCTCAGAAAGGATGCTGTGGGGGTAGGAATAATCGTGTTGGGGGGAAATTGAGTGTCAGGGCGTGTCGTGTTGGAGAATCGAGATTCTGCCGCCCCAGCCCTTTGCACACAAGGAGCAGCAAGGGGGGAATGTCGGCGATGGATTGAAGGCTTCGCGAAATATCGGAAAGTTTCCCAACCAATCAGATTTCAGCCGAAGACTCGATACAGTTCAGAGCTGCCTCCAAACCGAAGTGTTGGGAGTTTCTACAGGTTTCTACACATCAGAATCAGCTATAACAGAAAAATCCAGAGATTTCTTATTCATGCACCTCATGTGGCTCTCAAGTCACTCAAGGTTCATGGAAGCTGGATTGTGACCAAGTTCCCAAGGAAGTTGCCTTGTCTAGCAACCTAGTTTGAGCTACCTAACTGCCTTGTTTGTGATGTTTAAGAAGGTGTGCTTTAGTGGGCTTGTACAACCTTGATCATAGTGAAGTTTTACCTCATCCAGTCAGTCCAGCAGCCCTGCTAAGACTTTCCAGCCAAGTTTCCAACCTTTCCAGCAGTCACAGCTACTCTGTTTTACAAGTTGGTATCAGAGCTCGTCGTTTCGATCAACCTAGCCCACCACGTTCCTATCCTAGAACTAAACGGACATGGCGGGAGACAATCCTTCTGGACCTGCACTCCAGCCAGCCGGAGGAGCTTCAGAGTCAACATCAGCAGCTACTGGATTAGTGGAAGCAGTTGCACCAGGCAGTTCTTCAACAACATACTCACCACTCACCTCCTTCATGCCTAAGCTTCACCTTCCCAAGTTCAACGGCAAAGATTTTCCAACATGGGCAACTCAGTTTGAGCTCACTGCATCCCTTCTGGATTTGTGGCCTTACTATACTGGAGAAGCAGCCAAACCAGCAGCAGATGCTTCAGAAGCTGAAAAACGTCAATACGAGCGGCGCAACAAGGAAGCCTTCCTCTACCTACTCAATAGCATTCACGAGCAGCAGTTGAAGTCACTCCTACCCTGTTCTACCAAGGCAAACAGTGCGGAGGAAGCATGGAGCCGACTGAAGTCTATGCACCAGTCAAAATCCGAGAGCAGCCAAGCTGAGATGTGGAGCCGCTTCATGAATTTGAAGATGGAAGAAGATGAATCAGCACAAGCATACCTTCAACGAGCTGAAACGATGCTGGAGGAAGCAGCAGCGATCGGCTTGGAGATCCCAGAGTCTCTTTTCAAGACCGTCATCCTCACTGGCCTTACACCGGAGTGGGACACTTTCCGTGCAACACTACAAGCGCTCCCGCAGTCAATGAAGACTCGTGCATTCATCTTCGAAGCCCTTGTCAACGAGCAGCAGAGTCGAGACCTTGCACGGAACAAGCGGAGTGACGAAGGTGCGTGGAGTGCTGCAGCGGCAACACGATATGGCAACCAATTCCAGAGGCAAGGAAACTTCAGCTCAAACCGCCCTCAACCTTACTACGGTACGAAATTTCAGTCACCTTCCAATCCCTACAACCCCTCTCGTATTCCTCAGTCAAGTCATCCCCTTAAGCCAAGTCCTAATCTTCAGCCAAGGTCTTCCATTCCCAATCAATTTCAGTCTAGGAATGTGAGAGCAAATCCTTTAAGAGTCAATAATTTCAGTCAAGGGTCAAATGCTAAAAAGTTTAATTTTGAGTGCTTTTGTTGTCATGAGTGGGGTCATCCGTGGTATGCTTGTCCTAAGAAGCCTCCTAATTGGGTCCCTCCACCTCAGCTACTTTCTGAAAAGGGTAAAGCAGTCATAGCAAATATAGCAAGCCATGCTACGAGTCAAAATGAGTCCAAAGATTCTGACGGTCCTGTCCTTTTCAACGCTGCTACTTGCATGCATGTTTTTTCTACTAGTAGTGAGGAGTTTATTCTTGATAGTGGCTGTTCTGAGACCATGACTCCCTATCATTCCATTCTCAAGGATTTTCAGCCCTCATATGACTCAAAAGCGGTGACTCTTGCCGATCTTGGCAAAGTCCCTATCAAAGGAGTCGGCAAGCTTGAGTTTGAGAAAGATGGTAAGTCATTTTGTGTCAATAAAGCTTTGTTTGTCCCTGATTTGGGAGCAAACTTGCTCTCAGCTGGACAACTTGAAGAGAAAGGTGCCTCTGTTCTTTTGCAAGGGGGGAAAGCCAAAGTGTGGGATAGTGCAGGAAATTTGGTGGCTGAAGGCGAGCGTACCGGGCGTCTCTACAAGATGAAGTTGGAGATCAAACGCGGTTCTAGCAACACGAAGAACGACGTTGTCTCGCTTCCCGCTGTTTCAACCGATCAAGTCAACAACAAAGGGAGTATCTCCCAAGCCGAGGTATGGCATGCACGCTTGGGGCACTTGGGGATGCAAGCATTCAAAGAGTTAGTAAGTCACAAGAGCGTGGAAGGACTTACTTTGAGTGAAAGTGCAGTCAAGTCTCTTTCTACCGTCCCATGCCCATCTTGTGTTGAAGGTAAGCTAGCTAGAAAGCCATTTTTCCCTTCTAAGTCTCAGTCAAGGGACCTCCTAGAGTTGGTCCACACTGATGTGTTCGGCCCCATGCGAGACCCTACTCGAAACGGTAAGAGATATTTGGTGTCTTTCATTGATGACAAGAGTCGTTTCTCATGGTCCTTTTTCATCAACACCAAGGATGAAGTTCATAAGTGCTTCAAGCAATGGCTAGCACTTGTTGAGAGAGAGTCAGGGAAGAAGTTACTCACCTTGAGGTCGGACCGAGGAGGTGAGTACATGGGAAAAGCGTTCCAGGGGGAGTTGTTGTCATTGGGCATCAAGCAACAATTCACTTGTCCCTATAGTCCTCAGCAAAACGGAGTGGCAGAGAGGTTTCATCGCACTATTCAAGCTATAGCTACCACTTTTCTTCAGTTTAAGGGCCTTGACAAGCTCTGGTGGGGTGAGGCAATCACTATGGCAATCTATGTTCGCAACAGAAGGCCAACAAGGCCTCTACCGGATGGTGTAACGCCATATGAGGCTTGGTTTGGAGTTAAACCAGATCTGTCTATGCTCCGTGTTTTTGGTTCCATGGCCCAATACCGTGTCCCAGATGCAAAACGACTCAAGCTGGACAGCAAAGCTCATTGGGGCCTCTTCATCGGCATGAGCAATGAGAGCAAGGGATGGGTCCTTTGGGATCCCGTCACCAAGCGAGAAGTGGTTTCAAGGGATGTTGTCTTCTATGAAGACATGTCCCTTGCAGATTGGCACAAGTATTCCTCTTCCTCCTCTCTACCACCCTCTATCCAACAGGAACCAGCAAGAGCACCTGAGGAAACAACACAAGAGGAGGAAGATGACAACGTTTCTGACCATAGCGGACCGATCATCGATCTCCCTCAAGCCGTCGGCAACGAGACCAGCCGTGCCACACCAGCGCCACCAGCAGCTACACAACCAAGTGGAGATGAAGTTCAGCTATCAAATGAAGACCATCCACCTCAGGAAGTCACCGTTCCATCACCGCCAAAGGAGCAGCAGCCAACATTCACAAACCAGCCAGCTACTTCAACACCAACCTCACAAGTTCAACGCCAACCGGATCAGCCCACCACTACGCCACCAAACCCATCATCAGCCGTCACTCCAGAGGCAATTACAGAAGCTCATCGTCATCCCATGCAGCAGCAACCAACAGCTACAAGTTCCCAAGTACCTACATCAACACCATCTACGACTCTTCCTAGCAACAAGTCAACCGTCACCGCAACACCTCGTTCTCATACCACACGTTCATCACTTCAACTTCCAACGTCAAGCCAGCTCATAGCACGAGGATCACTTCAGCGAGTCTCCACCAACACCAGCTCCAACAGCCCACTTCTTCACCCAAGACCTTTCTCAACTTCACCCCCACGTCCCGGATTTGGTCGTCATCAGTTACCGCCATCTTCAACACCGAGCAACAACACCAACCAGCCCCAACCATCACCATCTCTCGACAACGCAGCGTCATCATCAATTCCCAAGCTTCTAGTCTCACGATCCCCACCACGAGCATCTTCACAACCAACTATGCCGACGAACGTTTCAGCTTCACCGCCACGAGCCACCACTCCTATTCCTCAAGTCAACACCGATCATCGAGAGAGTTCCAAGCCGGGAGAAGATCATGCAGCCGTGCCGCCGTCGCAGCCGATGTCGAAGCCGTTGTCTCAGCCGCAAATGACAGTGTCAATGCATCCAAACACTGTGAGACCGAACCCTACCACTGATGTGTCTCAGCCAAGTGAGGAGTTGGGTAAAGGTAAACGAGTCCGCAAGGTGAAAAAGCCCTTCACATTCATGGTTGACATGTCATCAAGGTGCACATGTGAGGAGAGCGAGAATTGCATTCACAAGAAGGTAGAGGCAATATGCATGGCAGCATCACACCTTCCACGAGAGCCCTTGAGTCGTCGTGAGGCAATGGCAAGTCCTGAGAGAGAGCATTGGTTGAAAGCCGAGGAAGAAGAGATTGAGAGTCTCATGAAG